AAGAAAGAAAGAAAGAAAGAAAGAAAGAAAGAAAGAAAGAAAGAGAGAGGATGGATATGGATGAAAGAAAGAGTGAGTTACAACTGCTCGGGAGGCGGGGGGGGGGGGGGGGCGTGAAATGGGCCATAAAAGTGTGGGCTTGAACAATCAGCATTTCCCAAAGATTAGGATGTTAGAAGCAGAGGAGACTCACTGGGAGTCTTTACTTACAGAGTAAAGGTAAAGGTAAAGGTAAAGGCCCTCCCATTGATCGTCGATTTGCTCGAGCGGGCCCAGTAACGTCTCCATTGGAGACTTTGTTGTTACTGTGTCTGGCATATCGAATACGTCACGGGGAGCTTGCCAGGCTCTGCCCTGCGGGCGAGATACTCTCGGTAGCTTGCCGGGCTCTCCGAGAGGGGCGGAGGAATCGAACTCGGGTTGGCCATGTTGGCTGCGTGCAAGGCAAACGCCCTACCGCTGTGCTATTGCTCTAGTAAAATGACAATAATCCAATATTTTGAACTTATATTGTAGATTTCACAAAATGTACCAATTTGGTAAAGATAAGAAAAACAATTTTAAGAAAGAAAGAAAGAAAAATACAGTGCTCTTAACTATAGCACAGTTCCTCAGAAATTCACATTGGCGATAAATGTGAAGGGTTGGGGATGTAGTACATCAGGTAGGGCACCTGCCTTGCACACAACCAACCAAGGTTTGATTCCTGACACCCCCTACGGTGCCCTGAACACCTTCAGAAATAATTCCTGAGTGTAGAGAAAGGAACAACTCCTTCGCATCGCTGGGTGTGGCCCAAAAACAAAAAATTTAATTAAAAAAAAAACATGAAGGGGTTCAGAGAGATAGTACAGCAGGTAATGCACTTGCCTTGCATGTGGCTAACCCAGATTCGATCCCTAGCACCTCATATGGTCCCCAAGCGTGCCACGACAGGCCCTGAGCACTAGTGCATGTGACCCCAAAAAAGAAATCAAATGAAAGTGAAGAGAAGGGGCAGTACAGCAGGTAGGGTGCTAGCCTTACATGCTACCAACCCCAGGTTCAATCCCTAGCATCCAAATACAGTCGCTCAAGCCCTACTAGGAGTGATCCCTAACACAGAGCCAGAAGTAAGCCCTGAGCACCGCAGGATGACACCCACCAAAAAAGCAATAACAGGGGCCAGAAATAGTACAGCTGGTAAGGCATCTGCCTTGCATGCAACCGACCCAAGTTCAAGCCTCTACACTCCAAGCCCACTAAAAGTGATTCCTGACTGCAGAGCGAGGAGTAACCACTGAGCCATCGCTGGGGGTGGCCAAAAAACAAAAATGAAATAAAAAGTTGTTAAAAGAGAAGCATGGGGGGCTGGAGCGATAGATAGCACAGCAGGTAGGGCATTTGCCTTGCACGCAGCCAACATGGCCGACACAGGTTCAATTCCCAGCATCCCATATGGTCCCCCGAGCACCGCCAGGAGTGATTCCTGAGTGCATGAGCCAGGAGTAACCCCTGAGCATCACCGGGTGTGACCCAAAAAGCAAAAAAAAAAAAAAAAAGAGAAGCATGGGATATGTCTGCCAATAACATAGAATCACTGGACTATATGGTTTCCCAGCACCTGGGAAATGGTCCTCTATGCCCCATCCATCCACCAGAGCAAACACCTGCCTCAGCAGAAAAAGAGAAGAAGAAAGCATGATATGTGCCACAACCAGAGAAGAACCTTACAATCATTACATGAAGTGAAAGAACCCAATCACACAGAAACACATACTATATGATTCCATTTACTTGAAAACTCCAAAATAAGTAAATGTATTGAAACAAATTGGCACACTGGATAGGATAGGAGAAATGGAGAATAAATGCTAATAGGAATAGGGTTTCACTTTAAGGTGATAAAATGTTCTAAAATTGACTGTGGTGGGGCTGGAGTGATAGTACAGCAGGTAGAGCGTTTGCCTTGCACGTGGCTGACCCGGGTTTGATTCCCAGCATCCCATATGTTCCCCTGAGCACCGCCAGGGATAATTCCTGAGTTCAGAGCCAGGAGTAAGCCCTGTGCATCGCCGGGTGTGACCCAAAAATTAAAAAAAAAAAAAAGACTGTGGCTGCACAATTCGAAGCTTTCAGTGAAAACTATTAAACTACACACACACACACACACACACACACACACGCATGATAGGTAGATTGATGGTGTGTGAATTGTATCCCAAAGCTATTATTTAAAGAGAGGATATTTTGAGTGCCTCAGGCACTATGGTAAATTGCTGGAAATACCAGAAACGGGAAAACACACATACCAATATCAACCCTTAAAACTCTAATATTCTAACAGGAAAGAAAAAGCAGTCAAGAGAAATTATAAAACACTGAGAAAAGAAAAAGGTTCACAGGGCCAAAGAGGTATTATGGAAGTAACACGGCTTGCCTTCCAAGTGGCATAGGCTCCCTGAAGAACCACCAGGATTGATCCCTGAGCACAAAGTCAGGAGTTGGCCCTGAATACCACTGAGTGTGGCCCAAAAACAAAAAAGAAATAAAAAAAACTAACAAAGGGAGGCTGGAGCGATAGCACAGCGGTAGGGCATTTGCCTTGCAAGCGGATGACCCGGGTTCGAATTCCAGCCTCCCATGTGGTCCCCCCCCAGCAACACCAGGAGTAATTCCTGAGTGCAGAGCCAGGAAGTAACCCCTGTGCAATGCCGGCTGTGACCCAAAAAGGTTAAAAAAAAACTAAAAAGGGTTCAGAGGGGCTGGAGCAATAGCACAGCAGGTAGGGCATTTGCCTTGCATGCAACGGACCCAGGTTCGATTCCCAGCATCCCATATGGTCCCCCGAGCACCGCCAGGAGTGAATCACTGAGTGCATGAGCCAGGAGGAACCCTGTGCATCGCTGGGTGTGATCCAAAAAGAAAAATAAATAAATAAATAAATAAATATAAAAATAAAAAAGGTTCAGAGGGTGTATCCCAGGGATACCTAACCTACTACGGGGGGATGAGGTTCCAGAAAAGAATTCAATGAACAGATTTCCAATCTTAATATGAAAATCAAATATTAGGATTTTTTAATCAAGTATTGTTCAGCTTCTTCAAATGTTTAGCTGTTGCTGTTTTTATTGTTGTGGGGGAGGGAGTGCACACCCAGTGCTGGGGTTCCTCCAAATTCTCTGCTGAGTGTCCTGAACAGAGAGGTGCTGGAAAGCCCTGTAATGTCAGGGATCAAACTAGGGCCTCCCACGTATAAAGTATGCCCCCTGCCCTTTGAGCTATCTCTTCCACACTATCAACACGTTCCTTCTTTCTTACAGAACCCTAAAGGACTTTTTAAACAACACTTGTGCTCTTGCAATGTTTAAAACTGTTAGTAAATCTAAAAAAAGGAACCGACCAAAAAACGCGAAATGTAACAAATCTCCAACTTAAGGGTAAAGTACCTGGTCACTATATAACTGAAACCCAAGCACAAAAAAATTTTAAGTCTACAACTGTACCTCATGATGTTTCACTAATAAAAATTAAAAAAAAAAAAGAGTAAAGTACCAAGTTTCTGAGAGACTATGCAAATTGCATTGCAAACCTTTTGCACTCTAAAATACGAGTGCAAAATATGAGGGGGCGCTAAAACACCCTGTAATACATTCAGAACAAGGCAGGGGTGCTTGGTGCTTGGACTGGCAATGGAGAAGTCACGATTGTAAAGGAAACAGCGTGCTACAAAGTGAAAATAGACTTTTAAAAATAAAAGTAATTCTCAACACTAGAATTAGACTATTAATAACTGTTGTCATGGAAACAGGGAAGCCAAATTTCCCGAGGTTAAAAATAAACACGCTGCAAACTCAAGAGGTTGATGTAGGGCAAGATCTGGTCCAAACAAGGTCGACCAAACCTTCCAAAAACTTCTCACTTAGGTGCGTACCAATTGCAACTTCGAACCTATCATTAGGAAGCTGCCTGCGTTCATTTTCCTCAGGGCTTTAAAAAAGTTTTCCCTTTCTCCTCTGCAGGAAGGAACCCGACGGAACCCCTCCGGAGACATCACCCCGCAACCCAGGTTAGTCGAGCAAAGATGCAAGATGCGACTCGGGTGGGGTGGGGGGGTGGGGGGGGGAGCCTGGACCCGGAAAGCACCCGGCAAGTCCTGCCGATGCCACTGGCTGAGGCGGGAGGAAAAAGCCCAAGTTCGAGCCCGAGCCCACCTGGGCTGCCTCCTCCACATCCGCAAGCCCACCTCACGCACGTCCCAAGCCTGGTATACCGCGCGACCCGATCCAACTCGCTCCTTCGACACCCACTTGTCTACACCGCATCGTGCCTTCAGGCTCTGCAGGAAGGGGTGGCCCTCGAGCCGGAAAAAAAAAAAAAAAAATCACCTAAGGAACCGTCCGGGGAGCTGAGAGGCGGCGAACTCTGAACTGGCGCTGGAGCTTGGCGGCGCGGTGGTCGGGACCGGAATGCCCACCCCCACTCCCCAGACAGGTCAATCATGCCCGGGAGCGCCAGGCCCGGCCTCCCCGGAGTCGGCCGCAAGCCCGGCAGGAAGGGGGGAAAGAGAACCGGTGGGGGGGTGGGGGGAGGCGTCCACTCGTGGACCGCCCGCGCGCGCCCCGCTGCTGCTGCTGCTGCTGCTGCTGCTGCTGCTGCTGCTGCTGCTGCGAGCGCGACCCCGACTCGGCCCCCGGACGATCGGCGAACGCGGCGGCCACCCACCCCCACCCCCGTGAGTGAGGCCGGGGTGGGCTGCCTGTCGCCCGCCTTCCTCCCGGGCGATCGCGTCGGCCGGCCTCTCCCCCTCCAGCGTGACAGTCGCGCCGGACGCCCAGCCCGGGCGTCCCTAACGCGGCGCGGCCGCTCCTCCTCCGCCGACCCCAGCCCCGGGGCCGGGCTCACGGGGGGAGGCAGTGCCGGGAAGGGCGCCCCCCCGCCCACACACACACACACACACACACACACACACACACACACACAAGCCCGGACTCGGGTGGGGGAGGGGACGCCGAGCTTACCTGGGGCGCGCGTGGGGGCGCGGACGCGACCCCGAGGAGGGCGAGGAGACGCGCCCTCCGACCCCGCAGCCCCGGGAGATTTGGGAGACTTGTTCCGCACGGGGTGACAGCTGTTCGCCGCGCACGCGCACCAGGGCCCAGACGCCGGCTCGCGCCGCCGCCGCCGCCGCCGCCGCCGCCGCGCACCCTCCCGTCGAGGGCCGGGAGGCAGAGGCCAGGGCTCGCGCACGGCGCCCGCCGGCTGTCCCCCGCGCGGGGGCGCGCGCGCCGTCACGTGACCGCGGGGGCCCGGCCCGGCGTGGGTCACGTGAGCGCCCGAGCTGCTTAAAGGTGCCCGGCGCCTTCAGCCTCTCGACTTCTCGTCTTCGGCGCGGTTCTCCGGGGCCGAGTTGCTGGCGCCCGGCCGGCTTTCGGGAGACAGGCGGTGTTCTCCAACCCCCTACACACACACACACGCACGAGACAGGCAGCGTGTCCCCCCCACCACCACCCCCTACACACACACACACACACACACACGGCCCCGGAGCAGAAAGGCACTGAAACAGAAGGGAAGCGCAGGTGCACAGCGCCCTGCCCGGAAGCGCCTTGGCCAGGCCCCGCAGGGCTGGACCTGACGGAGTCCACGCGCCACGCGTCGTCCGGGGCTCCGACACGGGCCTGCGGCGGCCTCCGGCGCGCGGACGTCAGAAGTGGCGTTGCCAGGGGTGGCGCCTTGGAACGCCCAGCTGAGCCTGGCGGGGGGTGTCCGGGCTTCGTTCCTGGCCCGCAAATGACAGCGTCTTGCGGCCGATCCAAGTGGGAGAGCCCGAGCAAGAGAAAAGGGGGGGCCCCCCCAGTGCCACCCCTGGACCGAGGAACTCCCCGGTAAAACCAACGCTGTTGGCCCGAGGGGCGAAAGTGCCCCTGTGCCTGGCACTGGTGGGCAGCAGGTGCGTGCCTGAGCCTGGAGCACTGAGAGTGGATCGGGGTCTGGACTGCAGATTTTTAACACGGCAGTTTGACATGCACTGTTCTTAAGACAGCAGTTTGGTATGGGCTGTTGTCACAGGAAATGCAGGTCCCTCTGGCCCCTGAAAGTGGCTTTTAATGAGCTCGCTTCAACTTGGAGCCTCTGCGCTCTCACTCCGCCGTGGCAGGTGTCAGAGGGAACCGCATAAACCTCACTGAAGTCTTTGTGCTGCCAAAAACAGATGGGTGAGCACCAGATGTTTTGCAAAGCTGATCGATTTGTTTTAACTTCCTGCTAAGTTCACAGCTGAGTATCTTGTAGTATTTCCCCTAACGTTCTCTAAGAAAGACGTTCAACTAAAAAAGGCTGGGCAAATGTTTATAAACTGCTGAGTACACATTGGGGGTGTCTAATAAGCCTTTCGGCTACAATGCAACTTCAGACTACGGAAACGTCTCAAAGGGCCCACTTCCAACTCCACTCAAGTGGCTTCTGAAGGAAGGAGCACTGACAATACATTTTGAAATATTTAAATTAACACACGGCTGATGGTAATGTGGGGTCTTCCTTTCTTTAACGGCTGAATAGGAAAAAGGTTTCGGGGTTTGGGGACCACACTGGGCACTGCTCAGGACTTACCTCCTGGCTCTGCACCCAGGGATCACTCCTGACAACTCTTGGCAGAACGTAAGGGGTGTCAGGGATCAAACCTGGGTGGGCTTTTTGTAAGGCAAGCGACCTGCCCTGGAATGAAAGTACCAATTCTCTCCAGCCCCTGAATTGGTATTTTCTAAATATGTATATGATGAGAATTCCAACTCCCCTGTGTAACAATTGGATACCGTAAAACAATAAATATATCCCCTAATATTTAGTGTCTATTGTGATTTTAAGACCTTTTCATATAGGGCTGGAGAAATAGTACAGCAGATAGAGCATTTGCCTTGATGCAACCAATCCGAGTTCAATGACTAGCAGCCCATATCGCCTCCGGACCACCGCAGGAGTAATTCCTGAGCACAAAGCCAAAGAGTAACCCTTCAGCATTGCCGGTGTGGCCAAAAGGGGGGGGGGGGGGAGGGAACTTCCTATACTCATATTATTGAATTAATATTGTAGGCCCAGCAAGCCAGCTCAAGAGGCTGAAGTTTGCATGATTTGCATCAGAAGTCCTAGGTTCAATCAGAGAACTGAACTGTGTATAGCTGAGTACAGCTGAATGTGTCCCAAAATAAAACAGAAAGTTAGTATTAAGTTAGTGAAGTCAAGCCAGAGAGAGAGTACAATAGGCAAGCCACTAGCGTTGCATGTAGCTAACTCGGGTTCAATCTCTAGAATTTTATCAGGGATCCTGGAGTGATTCCTGAGCACAGAGCCAGGATTAAGCCCCCAGCACAGCTAAGTGTGCATGATTCAAATCGTAGTTATTGAAGTTATTCGACCAATTATTGGAGTTATTTTTATTAATAATTTAAAAGTTATTCATCTTTTTAATTATTTAATTAGTAGATATTATTTCCTCTTCTTACAGATATGAAATTATAGTTCACTGATTAAGAAACATGTCAAGCAGAGAGTAAAGTCCAGGGTCCTTAGGAACCTAGAGACTGTATTAGACAACAGCCCAAGACACTTGAATAAAAAGCTTGGAAACCTGTGCCAACAAGACTTCTCAACAGGCTGAGCTCTTGCTTTTCATGCAGGAGGTCCAGGCTTGCTTCTCAGTACCATTTGTTCCCCAACCTGTGCAGGAAAAGTGCATAAAGCTGGAAGTACCCCCAAAAGTGATCAAACTTCAGGTCTCATGCCTGCAAGTCAGAGCCTTTCCCACTGAGCTGTCGGTGGACCCCTCTATTTGTTTTGATGCATGCACATAATTTATGTTTCATTTCATTATTTTGAAGCTGTCGTCAAGTTAATTTGAAATAAAAAAGATGAAGCTCCTTTTGTTATATGTTTACTATATTTTTTTTATTTTAAGTCATGCCTGGTGGGCTCTAGACTCGGGGTCGCACCCAACAATGCTCAGGGGATCATATGGTGTCAGAAACTAAAGCCTGGCAAGGCTAACCCTCTGAGTTTTGTCCCTCCTCCCCTAAATGTTTACATATGTTTACTATTTACTACCACTTTGGAAAATTGTTTGATATTGTCTGTTAAAGTTGAATATATGCATTTCATGTGACCAAGATATCTCTCTCCAAAGCATATACAAAATAAATACTATGTATATATGCATCAAATACCTGTTAAGAGCAGCTAGAGAAATATGACAGGGTGCTTTCTATCCACTCAGACGATCCCAGTTCAATCCCCAGCACTGCCTGAGCATGAGAGCATCACTGAGTGTGGTCCAAACATGTTCACCTGTATGCGAGTATGCACACACACACACATACACACACAGAGACACACACAGAGTGCCAGCAGCATTATTTATAATTATCAAAAACCTTACCTCTAGAGCAAGTGATAGCTCAACAGGTTGAGAGCATGTTTTTCATGTAAGAAGTCCAAGTTCAATTGCCAGAACTATATATGACTCCTAGCACCATGCCAGGAGTAGCCCCCAAGCACCTTCAAAAAAAAAAAAAACAAGCTGGTTAGATAGTTCAAAGGCTAATATATACTTTGTGTTTTTAGTCTAAGTGACCCATGTTTGATCCCAACTGTCACACTCTCCCTCAAGCAAAGCACTGCTGGAAGTCAATCCCCCAAGCACTGTGTTGAGAGCAGCTCCTGAGCGTGACCAGTGTGGCCAGTAACTCCCCTTTAACAACTATAAGTTGGGCCAGACTGACAGTACAGCAGGAAGGGCATTTGCCTTGCTTGGGGTCTATCCGGGTTCGATCACCAGCATCCCATATCGTCCCCTGAGCACCACCAGGAGTGATTCCTGAGTGCAGAGCCAGGAGTAACCCCTGAGCATCGGCCAGGTATGACCCTAAAAGCCAAAAACAAACAAAATAAAACTATAAGTAGGGAACTGTAGAGAAAGAACAGTGAGTGGGGTGCTTGCCTTACACACAAGCAACCCAGATTTGATCCCTGGTACCATATAGAGTCCCCTAAGAACAGCTACAATTGACCCCAAACATATAGCCAGGAGTAATCCCTGAGTCAAGTGTGGATCAAAACATTCCCCAACCATAAAAGTGTAATTCAGAACCAGAGAGATGGTATACTAGTATCTATTGTACTAATCTCGGCCACTCCTGGGTGTTAGTCTCCCATTTTGTTACTTTATGTTCCCCAGATGAATGCAATCTTACTGTGTCTATACCGCTCTTTCTGACTCATTTCGCTTAGCATGATACCACTTGTATGTGAATTTTATGACTTTATCTTTTCTAACAGCTACATAGTACTCCATTGTGTAGATGTACCAAAGTTTCTTTAACCAGTCATAGCACAAAAATTCGTAAGTCTATAACTGTACCTCATGGTGTTTCACTAATAAAAAAATAAATAAATAAAATACAAAAAATATGTACCTATTGTATGCATACTGCCGACCTGGTTTCAATCCCTGTCACCCTATATGGTCCCCCAAACACTGCTAGGAGTAATTCCCAAGCGTAGAACCAGGAGTAGCGCCTGAGCATCACAAGGTGTGACAAAACAACAATAACAAAAAAAAAAAACAGTAATTCATGTTTATAGATTTAACAACAGTGAAAAGAAACCATTAGTTTGGGATAATAGCCAAGTATGTTTTCTCTTAGATCTGAGGTAAAGACACTCCAGACAAAGAGAAAAAAAAGTTTCAAGCCCATGATATCCCTTTGGTGGGGAAGGTAGTCCAAACAGACCAGTGAAAGGTTAAGGGTTCCAATGATGGTTACTTTGTGATGGGCTTCTGAGAAAGATTCTAATTTGTACCAAAGTCATTCCACAGCTGTGTCTGGGGAAGACATGGGAGAGAAACTACTTTATAATGGTTCCAGTCTCAAGCACGTCTTCTCCATTAATGGTTGAGGAATAACCAGAACTTCTCGGGACATCCTTAATCACTGAAGAGTACTGGGATAAAATTAAAAGATTTATTTTCAAAAAATCTCTTCTGGGGGCTGGAGCAATAGCATAGTGGGTAGACGTTTGCCTTGCACTCGGCCAACCCGGGTTCAATTCCCAGTATTCCATATGGTCCCCTGAGCACCATAGGAGTAATTCCTGAGTGCAGAGCCAGGAGTAACCCCTGTGCATCATCAGGTGCGACCCAAAAAGAAAAAAAAGTCTCTTCTGGGAGGCAAAGCAATAGTATAGCAAATAGGGCATTTGCCTCGCACGA